CTCCCTCCCTCCCTCCCTCCCCCCCTCCCTCTCCCTCAAGGACTCCACCGCAATCATGGATGGATTATTCATCAATCATTCCTGCAAATACCGCAGAGATTTTGCATTTGCAGTTTTGATTGATCAGATCTGGTCGTGGGGTCGATTTTTCTCCGGCAGCCACTGCCACCAATCAGGGGAAATAAATTGGGAATCTTGTGTGAGGGCTCGATTATTTTGAGCAGGAAACTTTGGTGGTCGTCCCAAGTTCGAAAGTATGGAAGAGATCGAGTCATCAGACTGGGAGAGTTACCTGAGTTACCTGTCTACTTCCCTCCACCGCTACATGCCACTCAATGGCGGGATGATTGATCCAGACAGTGCTGTCCATTAGAATGTTCGCGATTGCTCGCTCTATCTAAGCATTGAGATGGATTTACCCTTCATGTCCCCCAAGGAAAAGCCTCGCAAGCCGTAAGTTTAGAGAATGAAGCCGTGCAGCAAAGTTTGACAAATGTAGGGCTCAGGAACAATCGATCGATTCCCACCCCACTAATCCTCTATTCCTCTCTGCTATTGGCCCATCTGGTCAATGCGGGCTAGGCAAACGCATCTAGAACATAAACTGTTCGTACTGCCCCATGCCATCCAGCTTCCTTCTCACGCTCTTTGGAAAGACTCGGGAGTGGATTGACACCAATACTCCGGGAAGTTTGCGCTGGACATCCTCAACGACTATTCGGCAAAATTACGCTACTGACCTTTGCCTTGGAAGGGTGGTCCGTGAGGCTCGCGATAGCTCTCTTATTTTACTTCCGGTCAGAAATTTCTGCTGACATCCGATCCGGACCTGTGAACCGCCTGAAGATCCCCTCTTCTCCGGGTTCTCCCTCGGTCGCGCTCCGGATCTAGCTCGTCAGCTACCAATATTACTGTAGTCCTTAGAAGGCTTTTGAGAAGGAGACCAAACGGCTTGCCAGTAGTGGATATCATTTTGCACCAGACATTTCCAGAGACCCAGGAATCTAGTCCCGAGATTCCCGGCGAAACGGAAGGTGCCTGTTATCTCCGGCGAGTCTGCATGGGTCCAGAGCAATTTGGAGCATTCTCCACTAGTTACTTGTCGGTGTCGGTAGTCGCACTAAGGTACTTGATTTCCGGGTCAAGGAAAGCTGAGCCGCCTCCACCGCGGCTCCCCTTCAGCCGTGGCTGGCAGAATTATGTAGTACTGTACAGTATTGTGTATCCGCTGTAAAATTGATGAGCGACTAATGCATCGTGGCTGCATTTGCACTCTATCAGACGAGTATCGGGCTTGTTGTTCCACAAGAGCAGAGAGCCCTCGAGACAGACTTGAGTCGATCGAGATAAGGAAACCAACAACAAACATTCCTCATTCCCAGGTTGCTTCATGGCTCCCAGGCTGCACAGCGCTTGGGCGGGGGAAAAGCGAGCTCGGGCGGGCCAAGACTGGGACTGCAAGGGCAAGGGCTCCCTCCCAATCCATCGGGCCTGCTCGGTGTAATTTCCCCTGAATTTGACCCTGTCCTTCCGGCGGTTGAAGGTGGTCTGGCAGAAGAGAAAACCTCACACAATTCCGTAATTTAAACCACATTGTAATTAATGAAAGAAGCAAATTAGTTGCTAGTTAACTGATCAACAAAGTGCAGATATGACTAAGGTAGCTAAGTTTCAATTTAACAAATATACAGATCATGTGACTACTGTGCATGCCCACCATCACCACCATCACCACCACAACCACCCCACCACTCAATCCACCAGATACCCCTGCGGATAGTGGAAATTCTTCCGACTTAGCTTCCGCTGGGACCAGGGAAATTTCTCCTCGTACTGGGCGTAAACGGTGTCCTTGCCGGCCACCAGGTTCTGAATGTTGAGCCGGGTGCTGTACATCAGATTCCAGGCCTGGGCCTCGTGCCACTCGTCGGTGCCATTGTGGATGTCCGAGTCCTTGGAGGCGGGGCCCGCCGACCGGTAGGTGCCGACGATGTTGGGGAAGGGGGCGAAGCACTCAATCTGAGGGCGGCCATCCTTCCCGCCGCACAGGTCGCCCATTGAGTTGTCGACGGCGGCGACGAGCCGGTCGACGGCCAGCGCCGCCAGGATCCGCTCCGCCCCGCGCTTGGTCACCGCGTAGCCGTACGTGCAGCACCCGTACTCCGCCCGGTAGACGAACCGCGTCGACGTCTCTGGGAACTCCGGGTACTGCGTCGTCCACTCCTTGAGCGGTCCGCCCCAGGTGCCCCGGTGCTCGACGCTGGGCGCTGTCGGGTCGTTCGGGATTGCGAAGAACTGCGTCTCGTTGGCTTTCGCCGCCGACGCGCACCCGCCGATCCAGAGCAGGTCCCAGTTTGTCCCGTAGGGCGCCTGCCGCGACCCGTGCGTGTTGCCCGTCAGCGATCGCACCCCGCGCGCGAACTCCCGCAGCTGCTGCTTAATGAAGATGTCCCAGTCTGCGTCGTCTTCGAGGATTAGGGCTGTGGAGTATCCGTTCTCGACTACTCTGTTTGGGGGTGGTCAATTATTCTGCTTACGATGAGGGAGGAAGCGGAGGGAGGGAGGTAGTATTGGGAGGGGGGTCGGGTGCCGTACTTGGTGAGGGCGTTCATATGTGCGCGCCAGCAGCCGATCTCCGAGGGCTTGAGGCTGTTTTGCTATTTGGAGTCCAAAAACGTCAGCATGCGTCCTCCCCAGGGATTTGGACGAACTCACATTCGGCAGCGACTTAGGGTTGATCTCCGTCGGTCGCACTCCGTCGAGCCACTCGACCTGGAATCCCGCCATCGAGGCAGCGAGTGTAAGGAAGTCGCGCTTGTCGGTCCGCTCCTTTAACCCGATCGCAAAGATGTGTTCGAACTAAATGAGACCCCATGTTTAGCGCATGCACCCACCAAACTAGATCTCCACACCCCGAGAATTTTAAAACTCACCCCCAACGTTTCGTTCTTGATGTGTTCGAAAGCATGGTCTTCGAAGTAACTCCGTGCCATATCCACGCCATCCGTCGCCCAGAACCTGCGCGCCGACTGGCTGAATAAGAATACTAAGAGGCCGTAGCTGACTAGGACGGCGATCACGATCCGTGAGATCTGTGTCCTCCCGCGGATCATCTTGTCGAACTCGAGAAACTGAATCTTTGGCGCTGACTAGGGTGGTGAATCTTTTGGGGAGACAGCGTCGAAGGAAAGAGGAGATGACATTGAAGAGGAAGACGTTGCATGATGGATCGGTGGTCGGGGAAGTTGGACTGTCATCCTCCACAAAGGCGTTTGACTGAAAACGGATTGATTTTGAATGGAAAGTGACTTGAGTCTTATGGATGCGGACATGCGTTGCGGGCCAGCATTCCTGAGCCCGAAGCGGGTGTTGTAAGGCCGGGGATGCCGAATGCGGAGGATTGTATACTACGGAGTACTAGTTATACGATTGTATGCTGTATAGAATATGGGCGGAGCAGGGATCTCCCCAGATGACTGTTTTGAGCTTAGTGTGAGATCAGCTCACACAGAAATTGAGGCGATATTATGACCGATGAGGCGGTTTAGCCTACAACCAACCTTGGCAGTCCCTGAACGATGGTTCAGAGTGGGTTTTCACGTCATGATCCGAGCTATGATGTCATGGGCTTCACCCCGACCGTTGTGGAGATGCCTCGGGAATCAGGCATCAAGATATCTCATTCGATTCAGTGCGGTAGTTACTGGGCAGTATGTATGTTTCTTGCCTTGGCATGGCTTCTTGAACAATGACCAGGACCACTGACGTAGGGGGCATGCCAAAGGGTAGTTTCCCTGATGGTCATTCGAACACCATTTGACTCATCTCATCATTTCAGTACGATCTTCTTGGTCTGCGTCAAGTGTGTAGTTTATTAGGTTATCTTGTTATACCTTTTAG